GAAGAGCTGGTGTTAGTGACTGGAATGAGGTAAGTTGCGAAAAAGTGATTTTATTGTCTACATACAATGCTTATATACAGTACCTGCATAGAGAACGAGTGAGGGCCAGCATAAAGTTTTGCAAGTTAGATATAGTGGGGTATATAAAGACTGGAGCAAGCGAGCACAACATTAGATGGCAAAGATGAAGATCGAGAAATAGCTATTAGTGTCAGCAGAGGTAAGTATGTTTGGAAATACATTTTCAGTTTAAGAAAATAACTTTCTGATAGTCTAATCTTTTTTTTTTTTATCTTTATTCCTAGGATGTTTTTGTGTGTACTCTAACCATCAAACATTAGAATACATTCGTGAAAGTTTGGAGAAAACCTTACTTTCCAATCTAGAACAAGAGGACAGGTTGCCTTTTCATGGATTGCCTATTGTTATTCTTTTTGCTGCTGATGCTAGTATAAATGAGAAAGATCTGACTTTCCTTCGTGAAGAAGGTCAGAATAGGGCTAAAAGGTATGCAGTAACAGTGTAGCTGTAAACTGTGATTTGTGTTTTTCAGTTTTATAAATATTACAGGTTTTTACATGCCACATAACTTATGTATAGTTATTTAAAACTGAATTATATTTTGTATAAAAAAAGAAAAAAAAAAGGACTGAGTGAAACTTTGAAGAGTACAAAATATGGAGAATTAATAAATTAACAGATTAGTGAATATTTTTAGAAGTTGAATTGCTCATGTAGTATACTAATCAGTTGCTCACAATATAAAATAAAAAGTTGATGGGCTTGATTATCATCTTATATTGAACTTAAAACTTTGTTAGTTATTAATGGCTGTTAGGAAAATGTCTTAGATGTAATGGCCACTATTGAAAGTTCTCAAACCTTGTTAGATAGTAATAACACAGGAAAGGGGTTGGTGTATTTTTTATGTTTTGTATTCATGGATAAAAATATAATTACCTTTTTTTTGTATTTGATTGAAGAGTCTCTAGATTTCTACTTTTATGATTGAAGTGTCTTATTTAAAAAGTTGACACTGGATTATCATATCCAGGGAATGCAATTTATTATGTTGGTTGCAAATTTAGTATTGATTTTGATTGTGTTACTGTGGGTATATAATAAAATAAAGAAATGACAAATGGTGTTGTTCAGTATTCTCAGAGGACCATAAATATCAGGAAATAAATTACTAGGAAGTCTTATTTATTTGAGCAGTGACAATTACTGAATTGTTTGATACTCAAAGAAAAGTTTTGCTGTTACTATAATACATTAAAATCAGATACTGACAGTTATGATTAATGCCTCATGTTGCTCATTTCCAAAATACTGATAGTATTCAGTCTATTTTATTCTCTTTTATTTTTTATAACTGTTGAAAAAATGTTAACTTAATTTTTGAGTATCATTAAAATCTAAGAAATTATAGCACTTTTTTAAAATGAAGTTTTACCAAAAGTTTATCTTTGTTGTAGATAAAATGTGTGATAAGAACAAGGTGTCACCTAAAATGTTTTTTTTCCTTGTTCACTATTTTAGCCAGATTCTAGAGCAGAGTACAAGACAATTTTCTCTTAGTTTTTAGAAATTATAATTTTTATCACATCAGAAGTAAACTTTTACAATGAGATTCAGTTCACTATTTTAGCCAGATTCTAGAGCAGAGTACAAGACAATTTTCTCTTAGTTTTTAGAAATTATAATTTTTATCACATCAGAAGTAAACTTTTACAATGAGATTCAACGGAAACTTCATGTGTGAGCGTGTTAGGCATATGATATGTAGAACACATACAAATGCAAGAGGAGGTGATTTTGTAGTGCTGCTTCTTTTAGAGGAACTTTAGTTACTATTTATGCATTAAAACTTCTTTAAAGATAATGACAAGCAACAGTAATAAGAAACATATATCTTTATATCTGTGAACTTGAAAATTTTGTAAGTAATGACATTAATAGTATGTCTTAGCTTAACACTTTAAAGCCCAGTGTTTGGTATTACACCACCTTTTGCCTTTTATTTATAAACAGTAATAACTCGTAACTATCAGAAAATTGGAAACACATTTCAAATACGTGGCATAACATATTTATCATACCTTATAAAATAAAAATTTGATATTTCTTGTCAAATTATGATACATAATACAATCAAAACTACTACCTAATCTAGCTGTTTGCTACAGTGTTACATATGCATCATGTAATGGTTGAACTGACAGTCAGTGTTTTCATATACATATATATATATATATATATATATATATATATATATATATACGTACGTAGTAGTGTAGTATGTAGTATAGTAGTACGTTACGTACGTTAGTTAGTTAAGTAAGTAAGTAGTACGTAAACTAAAAATAA